TTACAAAATAATAATTATTATAATATTAGTACGTACCTATGTAAATACTGAATATGTTATAACAGCTTACTGTAAAATGTTGTCTGTAATTAAGTAAAAAAGAGAAGTCCAAAATTGTGAAAATAAATATTTAGGTTATAGCTACTTTTATTTGATCTTTATATAGTAGATACCTATACAAAGTGTAGCTATATACATAATTAATACATAATTAATAGAGGAATATAATGACATAATAGTTAAGGATAAATCTCAAAAAGAGTATTTGGTACAAGTTGTTAGCAACTACCGAAAAAAATTCCCAGACCACAAAAAAGAAACGCTTATTACATCATTATAAATCGAGTGATGTCATTATATATTAAAATATATTTAATATAATTAACTATAGTCCTAATATTTGTTATTTATTACCTATAATTAAATTAAATTATTTGCCTTTTATTGTTGTTTCAAAATCTATAAAGTATGTACTGTTTTGATACTCATATTCGAATACACTAAAAAATTTAATGTTTAAAAATAAAACACTTATGTAACAAATTATTATAAATTTAATTTCCTATAACTAATGTTGTTGGAATTTTATTGCAGAATTTGTATTTCTAGAGTTATGATTGGTTAAATTAAAAAAACTGAACATTTTTGTAACTAACTATTTTTAAAACTTTAGAGCTTTTGTGGCATGGGTTAAATTTAATCATTTTGTCTGAAACTTTTTTTGTGTGTTTTTTTAGTAGTGGGATAGATTTAGGGTGGGGGAGTAATTAAAAAAAAATAAAATCGACGGTTAAGGACCACCCTACTATACATAATACATTGTATAACATATAGAATGTATATACAAGTTATGAATGTCTCATTTTGAAATTACATGGGAATTAAACTTGACGCTCCAATAGATTGTTATAACAGGATGTATTTATAATATTAGGAAAATAAAACGAAGAGTACAAAGTAAACATAATAATTTTTTTTTTCTTAGTTTAAGAATTAATCGATTTTACACACAACCATTAATATAATTAATTGTGACAGCTGTAGTGTTATTAATTCTATAGAGTTCAAAAGTAGTTTCGTTCTGTATAGTTTTTTTTTACTTAAGGCGTAATATAGGTATCTAGTCGTATAGTCAGTTTATCATTGATGGTCTCATATACGTGTCGAGACCAATCATCAAATTGCTGTCTGTATTTTTTGAAAAATACTTAGCATTAAGAAAAAATGTTCCCTTGTTTATACTATACTTAGTAATAACATATAACCAGAGTTTACAACAAAAATGAATTGATAAATTTTATCATATTTAATACATTTCAATAGTTTTTTTTTTTTTTTAACCAAATAAGTAGGTATTGTTGATGTAATTATTAAAATATGATTATAATATTCATTACATTTATATGTAAAATGTACCTACCAAAACAAAGGTTAACATATTTTATTTTAACTCTTAAACGTATTCAACACGTATAAGTAAATGTACCTCGAATAATATTCACTTACCTAATTATTGATAACTTATGACTATATGAACAAAAACAACAATTATGGTTATAATAATTGTTTACTTAAGTACATTTAATGTTAAGTTATAAATACAGTTAATTCTATATAGGCTATTTGTTATTTATAAAATGCACAATGCAATTCAATATTAAAATTTTATGAATTAATTTACACATTAAATATTTATTTCTACAATAAATACAATAAACATTGTGATAATATGGGGGGTACTACTCCTGTATATAACATATGTTTTTTTCTCTTTCCTAATATTGTATAAATACTTTTAGCTTGTAAATAAGAATAACACTATAGGCTACTAATTATTGTAATTAAAGGCTATAATCAAATATACAAAAAAAAAAAAAACTATGGGTACTTAAGATTTCAAATCTAACTACAATAGTTATAATATTAAATATAATATGATACCGAAAATTTTACTTTTAGATTTTATCTGGAACAAAAGATCTGTCTTTCGGTGAACCGTTTGTGCTGCAGTGTCACGTTTTTTTAAGGAGTCATTAGATTTATATAAAAAAAAATTCCCAGGCTATATTTAACAGGTTTTAGAAACTATGACATGCCTTTATTTTGGGGTTATAAGTATAATTAAGTGAATTTGTAACGTGGTACAATTTATTTAATGCCAACCGTATTTATATTTAAATAAAAGTGAAGTAAAGTAAGTGTGACGACATGACACATAACTCAAAAGTTAGTTTTTAATTTTGCTAAACATATATTCCTATTCAGTTTAGTTTTATATAGTGATGTATTACTGTATCAGAACTCATTGAAAGTAGTATACTCATACTCAATATTACTCAAGCATATACAATTTTATTACATTAAAAGGCGTCCTTTAAAATACCTGAAATAAAATTTAGTTATTTTCATATTTAAGTTTTATCTAATTAAATAACAAGATTATAATGAGAAACAAAACTGTTAAGACCTAAAATGACTTGAAATAATACTTATTTCAATGTTAAACGATTTTAAACGAACATTTACAACACATTTAATCGCATATATTGTAGATTAAAAATAATGGTTTTATTTGACACTACTGTATCCATCAATATCAGTCAGCTGATAGATAAAGATTATCTATGTAATAAATTTAGCGTCATGGCTAACTGTATCCTGTGCGTGTAGGTATTGTTAAACGGGCGTTTCGGCCGTAATGTTCAAAGAATATCATCAACATTTTGTTAGCGTTAGTGAACTGTCTAAGTTTACCCCACAAATATTTAATTACAATACGAGTATAAAATATGTTTACGTTTAAAAAATATTTTACTGAATTTAACACGTAAAGAAATATTATTATAATGTATTTAATTCATCTAAGATAGACCATATTATATGGACTCTAGGTCAAGCGGGCGGGGAACTAAAAATAAAATAAAAACAGTCCCACCAAATTACACTTGCTTAGAACATGACGAACACAGTCACTAAAATAATTATTGCGCACTTGACCAATTTTACTGTTTATTAAATATCATTTGATATAATTATATTATTATAAATGTCTTGTCGAATAGCTTTTAGAAGGTAGTCACTAATAATGTTATATCATGTAAGGTTTGTGTTTAAGCAATTTTCCGAAAACCTTTCAAAATATTAGAGACATTCTCGATAAAGAAATTATTATTTATATTTTGTCTACTGCGCATGCATGCCAGAGTTCATTTATAAAAGAACATAAGTTAAATGTAATTTGTGTTGGCTTAAAATGGGTTTGCTTGAGTTTTCCAATTATTATCAAACCAGGTGTCGAGTGAAATTACGTGATTTTATTTTTATTTATATGTAGGTATATATACATTATATTTAGGTAATTGGGTCAGTAATAATGTCAGTAAAAATAATGGCCGCAGTAAAAATAAGCAAAAGTAAATACCTACTTTATTGATGTCATTAAGTTAAAATATATCGATTATTTTTCTACGACCGAAGAAAATAAAAAAATTATGTTTGGACAGTATTTTTCGTAATATTTATCATTCATAATTTTAAATTTTCTAAAAAGTATATTTTCTTATATACGTATTTTGAGATAGTGATAGAAAAGGATTAATCATCAGCATATTTCTGAAATGGAATCGAATTAAAGTTTTAACTAAAAACATTTTTTTAATTGTATTTAATTAGTAATTTTTCTATTGATATCCGTCATTTTATTCAGTTTCTTATTAAGTCTATTGACCGTTTCACTTTTAACTTTTATGTTTAGGTATAATAACTTAATACAATTCAAATAAAAACTTATTAATTTAAATAAGTGTTGTGTTTTTTTCATAAATAAAAACAAGTTTCAAAAGTCTTGTTTCACAAAAGAAAAAGGTAAATTTATGAACTATGTGTATTAAGTTTTGGAAACTACAAAATTCTGTTAGTTGTTTTTATAAGTATTAAATGACATCACGTATATTTTTTGGTTATAGAATACATCAGAATTTTCCTAAAAAAAACATTCAAATAAAATATCGAAATATTTGTACTTACTATATAGTAACTATAATCTATATAGTATATATGTGTAAAATATAAAGTTACAGGAATAATTTTAGTACTCATAAAAAGTTTCTGTTAGCTTTACCGTTTTAAATGTTTAAAAATGTTTAAGCATTTTAGATACAATAAATATTTGTAGAATTTTTTTATATATAATTACCATATATTATAAAGCACAATATCTCATCATTAATTATTTTTTGGGCATAGGTAAAATTATTTTTAGTCGGATTTCTGATCGTAATTCTCGTCTTTTGGATTGTGCGAAAAATCAATGTAAGCCTCATAAAACCTCAAGATGTTAAGACTCTAGTTTGACTTATGATGTTTCTTGCTGATGAAACGGTGTTTATCGGGCTTAGTTTAATTTGTTCGTAACTTATTTTGCCCTTCATATTTATAAAAGGTTTATAACAGTTTAATTCTACTTTTTATTGTTGGTAGGTCAGGTTGAAATCCCAAATTAATTTACTTATTGTTTTTAATAAGTATCCAATTTCAAACACATCATTGCTGGTACAAACAATTTTTTGATTGTATATATAAAATGAATTAGGTACAATTATTTATATTATAATAGCTCTCCAATTATCGTTGAGGTGTGTTCAATATTGTTTAACTCCTTATTGAAGAGCTGGAATACCTAATTATAATGCTATAATATATTTTCGATCCGTTATACGATCTTGTACTGTCTTATAATAGGTCCATAGGTCAATAGATCCTGAAACTTGATGACCTGAATTCCAAAATGACGGGAAAAAAAAATGAAAAAAATGTTTAAATATTAAGAGATTACCTCAAAAATACCACAAATTACTTAATAAACACATAACATTTTTAAAAATGTACGTTTTATAAAATTTAAATTTAATTTATATAAATACCTTTAAAAAATAAATGTGTCACACTGAACAATTAAAGTGTGTTTAATATTTTAAAATAAAAAGATAGGCGATTTTCCGATGACAAACTTTCGTAGGTTGAAAAACATTTTTCGACTTCCACATGTGTGATTGGGGCATGTTTTGAAACAAAATGACGTACTTAATCTGCATTCGAATGTTTTGGGAAGCCTTCTTTTGTAATATCTTGTTCTTTCAATATTTTTGAAACAATCTACATTATTTTATAACACTATTTTTTTCTACAGTTTTATATTTATGATGTATTAACTAACTATATGTCATGATAATTGAATTTGATATTTTTCTACTTCTTTGACTAGTACAGCATCGGCAAGGCATATATTTTTTAATTTAATGAAAACTAAATTTAATTCAAAATCTTGATCGGCGATCAAATCAATTAGGTACTTTTTCAATGGAAATAGCATCATTTTTATCCATTTGCATGATGGCAATTTTAAGTCTATCAAAATGTTCACAATAACAAAGGTTGCTGTTAACCAAGTTCCCCACCTATTTAGCACACGTTTTAAAAGAAATGGAATATTAAGTGCTTGCTCTTTGAAAATCTTGTAATGATAGAAAAAGCAACCCTAAGTTAATCGGAAACGATGACATATTTCTAAATCCATTTCTTATTAAATAATTATAACTTAGTGATATTACCTCTCTGATTTATGTGCCGAATTGCTTGTTGAAATCGCATTTCGCGTTCAAGGTGTAACGTTGATTTATATATTAAAATAATTATGCCTTTTTCTTTAATTAACTATTGTAATTTTATTTAACCTTTTTTCTTTAACACAACTTAATACACATACTTCAATTTATTACATACGTTTAAAACTTTTATTATTATGTCTTATTACACGAACGATCTGTGTAGTCTTTGACACTCGCCTTTTACCGTCCGTAAAATAAGACAATAATAACGGGTCTGGATCTTGACCAGCAGACTGGAGTTCTTACATAATATATTGTTGTGTATGTGTGTGTGTGTGTGTGTGTGTGTGTGTGTGTGTGTGTGTGTGTACAATATCTAATCGTTAAAGCTAATGATTGTTATAATTATCTTATTATATATTTTAAATTTAAAAAAGATATGATGGCTTATGCGTACCGTACATCATTACAATCTGTACTCTTGAAAGATCCTTCAAAAATATTTGATTGCAGTTCGAAATAAGTTGGTTGACTTTTGGGATTTTTTTCTAATTTCTTCCGCCAATCTATATGTAAGGCACGAGTCAAGCATGTTACATTTTCCATCTTCGAATAAAATACCTTGATAGCTTTACCTGCTTTGACCGTATATGGTGCAGCATCACTCAATAAAAGCAGTACATGATCGCTTTTAATACCATTGGGACAAATAATTTGAAGGGATCAATCTCAAAGTTTTATCTACAAACGAATTCAATCGAGTGTTATCCGACACTTTATATTTAGAAATTTTTATACAAAAATAAATTATTGTCAATAATATTAAATATAAAAATCAAAGAGTCGGTCGGTCACAGTAGTCTATAATGGATAAAATAATCACGTCCGTATTTCATAATCATATGCCATAATGCCGTAAAACGCTAATCACACCTATACAATTATCTGGGCTCATACTGTACTGCAGAAGAGAAAGCTTCTTTAACATAACACTCCGTGTGCATCAACATCAAGCCTAAAATAGTACCTGCCTACATTTTATTAAAAAATCGTATGGTTCAACAACAAACGATAAAGATAATGAACGTTGATAATCGACAAGCTTATGGAAAATGAATGTGTTCTATTAAAGCGTAACTTTCAACAAAAAAAAGTATAAAAATGAGTAAAATGCATCAAAACTACTAAAAAATTAAGATCATAGAATTTCCTAAAAATGCACAGAAGGTAAAATAACAATAATTGTACCATTTAATTCTATATTCCAAGAATCAAATTTCTGTAGACAAGCCTCGAATGTAAATATTAGAAAAAAAGATGCAAATGCGTCAAGTTCCGGGCCCTAATGATCAACATTCATGATGATATATTACAAAAATAAATACGCATAATTCAATGATATTATAACGACTAAAAGTTATAAAATAAATCGAACAAAAGCTTCGACAAATACAGAAAAAATAACAGATTAAAATGACGAAAATATTCAATTCGAAGAACATTTAACCTTTATTACCTGTATAATATGACGTACCTATTACCTATATTGATACTAGCTAATCCTACATGACTTTGTAACTGACAAATTAAATGCCCGTGGGATTACACCTTCTTAAACTCCTTACAATGTAAATTGCAAAGATTCTGAATAAAGTTTTTGGGTTGTTTTGACTAAATATAAAATACAGATCTAAAACTATATTCAATAGTAATGATTATTTAGTTTTCTGTAACCAATGCCAACGATATATAAACAAAAATGTACAGTCTTTTGTTTTTTAAATTCAGCATTAATTATGTGTTGAAGAGTAAAAAGTAAGTTATAAAAAGTATTCCATGACTACAGATATTTCTGAACCTACTAACGACAATTTTATGAAAACCAATTAAAACAGTAGATTTGCTCAATGGTCATCCGTTTTAGGCCTTTGATTGTATATAGCATATATGGATATTTATTTATTATAAGTTATAACTGTATTACTGGACTTCACGTGAATTAAAATTATTATTCTATCTTTGTATGGTTTTCCGTTTTGTTTCATTTGAAATATTTAATGCAAACACAATATTTTCAATGACTAATCCTAAGATTTTCCATTCCTTAATTCAGGACATATTTTTAATATTAACACAATAAACTGGAGACAAATTCAACGAATGCTTATAGCAGAAATCTACCTGTTGTATGCATGTATGAACCTTTGAATTAGATGATTTTCAATCGAATATTTTTGCATACTTGAATACTTAAAAATGTGTTCAATCTTATTAACGTTTAACTATTTATACGATCAAAACCAACTGAGATGTAGTTTAATAAAAATGTTCCTACGAATAGACAATTATTAAAAAGTGCCAATTGATGAATGTTGTTAAACCAATAAATATTATGTTATAAACTGACTTCAAATTAAACGTATGTTTCAATCAAATGAATTTATTGTTTAACGTTGAACATTACTGCTGGTTCATTAACAATAGCCAATGGTCAATACATAGACGTATAATTTAATTGTATTTATGCTTTGATCGATCTAAAATTATATTTCGTCAAGAACAGAAGTTACCTAAAGTTACCTTAAGCTGGGCCATATGGTATCCTTATAAAAACAGTAGTGAATTATTTAACTCAATCGATTTATAATAATAATATACTCAACTATAGTACTTCCTTTTAAGTTATCAAATCCACAATGGTACGAGGCAACTCACTGCCCGCATATGTTGTAGGTACTATGTTTTTATAACAATCGTACTCAATATTGCAGTTTTCGTTCTTCCTTTGTTTCGAGTAAACGTTGTGTTATTTTTGATGGTTGTGTATAAAATTATTGTCACTACATTAAATATAACAGAATATATACATTAGTGAGTACAGGTATGTAATACTTTTCAGAGTGTTCGTCATTGTCTTCTACTTGTTTAATAATCAATCAAACCTTATTAAATTATGCTTAAAAAATACAGATGAAAAATTAACCAAGCTTGAAATTACTTATTAAAACTTTGCGAATCGATGATAATTATTGTAAGTTGTGATTGCTTATGCAATTGATTTAACCCCGCAGAAGTTTGTTAAAAATAAAATGTAAAGTATGTTTTAAGTATGTTTTGTATTATCAAGATTTTTAAGCTCATAATAAAATCAACAAGAAATCGTATGAAAAGACAAATGATTGTCAGAGAACCTTTCTTAGACCCATAAAGGATTGACACAAAACAATATTTAATACAACTTCAGATGCTTAAAAAATATAATATACAAAAATATTTATATAGAATTGTTCTCATTTTTTAAAAAAAACTTTAGTACCAAATTATAAGGAATTTTGTACTCATTTTTTAAATTAAAGAAATGACGGGTATTAATGAATATTCAACATTTTATGAAATTTTAATTACCTACAAAATAATTCGAAATGTTCTCTGTTTTTATGAATTTTGTCAAGATTCTGTTTTAAAGGATTCTAAGTGCATAATATTGTGGTTAGGTATGTATTTTAATTGGTATATGAATAACTTATAGAAACCTCATACTAAATTTTCATTGTTTTTGACCAAGTGAACATTTATTTTCGCTATTTAAAGAAAAAAACAACTGAAACAAATTGTAGATACTAAAATATCTCCAAAAATAATCAATATATTTTGAAACCTATACTATGTGTAAAAAATGTTGATATTATGATCATTTAATAAAAATTTTAAATGTTTCAGTTGTTTAATTTTGAGTTACATCAAAAAACATTTTGTGAGTAGCTGGTCTCGCATACAAATTACAGCTTTTTTGAATTATTTTAGTTTTTTTAAGTCTATTTTGATAAGAACTATTAATTTTATAACTTTGACGTACACCTCCACCCTACAATGTAACAACAAGATTCATTGTAACCTCAAAGTTGAAAATAAAAGTATTTCTTTTTGTCCCAAAAGGTCATATATATATCAAAAATAATAAAACGTAATTGTAAAATCAATATATTCCATTCCACTCAGAATCTAAAATTTAAAAAAAAAAAAGCTAATTTAAGAAAAAAATTATTTTTCACGAGCGTTTTGATAATCACACTCAAAATCTTCTCTGTCTTGTTTTTTTGCTCAAAATTAGTTAAACCTACCATATTAGGTACTAATAGAAAAAATAAATTACAATATAAATAATGTAGATTAAAATATGTCTTTAGAAATGTAGGAGGGATTGTCTCAGCACAGAATCGTTTATCGTATGCAATGACTTTATCATTAAACTCAAATTTAACACATCCATTACAGGGATCTTCTCAATGACGTGGCGCACTCGACACTTTCTATACAGCATAGCGACTTCCCTAGTTTTTTATACAGTATGTAAGGTTACTGTCGACATTGTTGAAACGAGGAGGCTTGATTCCATAATAAGCGTCTGTTGTAGTATTAATAATTATGTATAATATGGGTGGAAAGGTACTTTTTTTTGTTTTGTCCCGGTATTTAAATAAAATGAGGACAGCACATAAAAATATTCATTGTATAATGAAAATAAATTTTTTTTTCGACAACTGATTCTACTTCGCAGATTAACAATGAAGTGGATAAACATTTTGAGCATTTTTGTTTTTTTCGAATTTGTATTTGGTAGGTAGGTATACCTATACTATAATTATAATTATTTAATTAATTACCATACTAAGTAACAAAGTTTAAAAGTTTTACATATGGTTTACATGGAGCTCTATTGACAAAACTGTATTATGTTCATGGCTGTTTATATGACTTAGGGTTATATACAAACAACAGAGATAATTTATTCTCGTGGAGTTTAAAATAAGAATACGATTTGATAACAAACATATATTTGAAAATATACATGTATTTTTCTAGCTGTTTTGGGTTTTATTCCTGTATTCTGCAGAATATTGGCTCTACAATGTCTTATAAGTTATAATTTTTTATGTTTTCACAGATGTTAATAATTTAAAAAAAAATATATACTCTAACATAATAGAATGAATAAAAGTTTATTTACTTATTATTTCAAACATTAAATTAAACCACTTACACTTTTATTTGAAAAAAGTATTAAACATTTATATTTTTATGTACCTACCTCATAGGTACATATATTATTTATTTATTTTTTATACAAATATTTAACTTCAAATAACCACCAAAAAATTGACACAGTCAATTAATTTGTTATATGTAATTACTAAGAACTGTATATGGTAAGATACGTTTAAAGTTCATAGAAATAAATAATATTTCATTTTATTTTATTTCATATCTAATAAATATTATAATTTTTTTGGATGTACAAATATTTAACTGCAGACGCGTTAAAATATTATGGTTTTTAATTAAAAGTGATATCTACCAAAAAATATTTATTATTATTTAGTACCTATCTTTATTCTAAAATAATATCTTTAATCTCAAATTATAATTGCTGTTTATTATAAATATAATTTTTTTTAAACTTTTCATTTCAAATATAGACTTACAAGTATGTTAGCATTTAGCAATATAAAATATTTTTTTATTATTAATAGATAATGTCAACATTATATTTTTTTTTTAAAAATGTCCCTTACCTCACCATGAATATTGTACTCAACCCTTGAATATTGAACTTATTTTTTAATTATTTGGATAAGAACATGCTACAAAAATCCAATTTTAGTTATTGTTATAAATTGACAAAAACAAACGATGGCATACCATATTATTATTTTACACTTTTAAATCGATGAACATTATTAAGTAAATCTTCAGCACGTTTTATTATTTTCAGTTATAATTCAAAACAAAATATTTAGATATTTTATAAAACTTCATACATTTTTATTCATGATTTTTCATGTATGTAATATCATATTACATACGATTATTAATAATAATTATTCATATATACTTTTCTTATGGATAAATTAAATAAAGTTAAGTAAAGTTCTTTCTATAGACTTACCTTGGCGTTGCAAGCCACCATAAATCTTTATTTTCCACTCGTTTTGATAGCTTAAACAGACCGTTAGCAAACTATGCTTCCGGTATGCCAAAAATCACGAACACATTTATTTTCGTCAAATATATTTTTAAAGCATAAAACAAAATGTAACAATTTCAATTTATTTTCAACTCTAATTACCTATTATCAAAATAATTCAGCAAACTGCCAGGTGGATCGATTTTTTTAGAGAAAAATAATCTCTTACACTCTATTCACATGTTTATTTTATCATTATAATATACAAGAAACTATATATTTCCTATAATTTTCAAAATATTATGACTCTTTTTTAGCTATTTATCGATATTTTCAATATTCATTTATTCTTCTACGAATGTCGATTATAAAATGTTCTCTTTTTTAAAATGTTTACGAATTTAAAACAAGTTTTCTCAGAAGTTACTCATACTAAAAAAAAAAAAAATAATTAAAGCATTTTAAGTTATAATGTCGATAAAAAAGTAGATATTTAAACTAAGAATAATGACATTTAAAAAATATTTAGATTAAGCTATTACCTATTTATATCATAAACCCATTCACCCTATAGAACGATGAGGTGGTATTGACTCAAAATTTAGTAACAATATTCTATATAAATACACTCTGCTATAATAATTAAATATTCATTAATATAATGAATGCAATGTGTTTGCAACAAATTAAATTAACAGTTAAGTAAGTTACTTTAATAGAAATATCAAAAAAATAACTATCTGGAATTAATATATATAGGTACCTGACACAGGCTGACAGAACACCAACGCTCAGAATCGTTTTTCACATACAGTGATAATACCATTGAATTCAAGTTAACACATTTATTACAGTGACCTACTGGACACCTATAATACAGCAGAGGGGTCTTCAAAGCTCAATTTTTTTAAAATTTTTTTTTAACATATAAAATCCAATTATTACATTATAATCTTTATTATAACTGAAATTGCTCTGACATTTAAAAATTTTAATCCTTCTTTGTTTACTTTCAATTTTATTACTCTAATTTTGTCTTCCTATGTTTATTATTAACTAACCGAAAAAAAAAATGGACATTTTGTTCCCAAACTATGACTCTTCTTTAGAAAAAAATGTAAAGCGTTTTACTATAACTGACATTCAATTATAAGAATGTAAAAAATATCTTGATATAGTACAATTTATAATCAAATAGAAATTTTAGTAAAAAAATCAGATTATTTAAAACTCTATGAAGGATGTCTAAATATCTGGGAAATAAAATTCTATATAAGTTATATAAAATGCATTGAACATGTCTATCTAGTTCCAATATAATACAATTTGTATCATAATCACCTTTTTTAATTTCAAAGAATTTTAATAATTTTAATAATTTTTTATGTTAACACATTATACAAAATTGAAAAATGTTTCAGTTTAAAATCTAAATATTTTATTTAAAATTATTGTTTGTGCCTATGAAAAGAAAGTAGATTATTCCCGTGTTTTTATCGAACATTTGTTCTTTGGTAATCGTTTTAAAACGTCAATAAGACATAACTTTATCTCGTTTCAATATATTTCTATACATGTGTTTACATAAGACTCACCGTACATTATGCTTGTAGATAACATTTATTTTGAAGAAGCCGCAATAGCTTCCGTGAAATGGTTCTTGATACCTATTACTGATATGCAAATATGTGCAATTCTTTGTCCTACATTGCGGTCTTAAGGTTTTATTTGATAAGAAAAGCAATATGATTTTGTTCTGGAAAAATTACAATTTGTTTTATGATACACATGATAACATACGTATATTTCACTTTAATATAATATCGTATACCTATTCGTATTATTTAGCCACAGCACTACTGATTTATTTGTGATTTTTATAAATTATAAGTTTAATTAATCATGTCACCTGTCTAATGAATGATATTGACAGATAATATATGTGATATTTTATTTTCGAGAGTATTAATGTTTTACATTTTTTAGTAGGTATAGAAAGCAGTATAGGTACCTCTATGGTCAGTCACTTAGAGATGGGCAGTATTTCAATTAAATATATTTCAATTACGTATTTGGAATACGTATTGTATTTTGAGTATTTTTAAAATACAAAATAAATAATAACAGATAACAAAACGCTCAGGTTTTAATTTTGGCCCAGATACAAAAAAATAACGATCTTTACTTTTGTAGTTACAAAATAATATAATATACTACACTGTAGATTTTAGGTATATGATGAACGTAGTTATTGAATTAGAGGGGTACATGGAGGAACAGAGTCACTCTTCTTACAAAAAAAAAATATTTATACATATGTAGGTACCACTTGTGCTTCAAACATTTACGAGAAAATAGTGACTTTACATTTTTGTATTTGAAATTACTGTTTTTTAATAATATTAGTAATATTTAAAAATTCAATGACTTATGAGGTTTGATGTTATGGTATTATTTATTATTTATTAACAGCACTGAATTAATTTTGATAAATTAAATACATATTAGTGATAAAAAATTGTATTTTATTATCGAAATGATCTAAATTTTACGTACTGTGCATATGTCGACGATGTGGATTTTTTGATTTCATTGATGTATTTTCTTTAATACTGGATAAAAATAATGATGTACGTCTTACATTGAATAGAGTAATACTATTATAAGTAAATATATTACAGTTTATTTATATTTATCTTATAACTGTTTTAAAGTTCAAACACAATTAAAAATATTAATTTATTTACTCTCTGTAGTTCTAAAACCTTGAGGCTTTTCGCGTACCGCCTGTAGTCTTTCGAGTACCATTATTATGGTGAAAACGCTGATACTTATACACAATAAGTACGTTATAGTCTTGGTTATTGGTTCTTATCTAAAAAGTATTATCACTCTCTTACCAAACCGAACAAGCCACGGCGTGTTGGGCCAGTAAGCTCTTGATTATATTTCCGCGCCGCAGATATAAGTGTTAGGTTAACACTTTTAACCAATAAAAATAAGAATATTTTTTTCTAATAGGGCGAGGATGAGTGACGGTATTTGAAAAACTTATATTCTTAAAAGGGAACAATGTTTTTAAAATTAGTGATTAATATCACATTTAACCTTTAAAATTACAAGCTCATCATGATGTATAAATATATATATATAATATATATACACACAAAATTATTTTTAAATTATTTTCAACTTTTAAAAATGTCTGACGCATCATAATACCTATTGATGGCAATTATTTTTTATAGTTTGCGGATAACGTAACGCGGTGTGTCTTATACTTTTAGAAGCATAAGGAAGCTTCAATGTTATGATACTATGTTTAAAAAAATTGAAATTTCATAAATACAACTTTATAATAATAATAACAATAATATGCTTCATATGACACGAAACATATTTTACATAATAACGGATAGGTACTGATTTTAAATATTTGTTAAATAAGATGTTCCGTGTGACAGAACTTAATAAAGTAATTAAATAGTTTAAACTAATCCTTAAAGTTTTACTGTTGTGTTGTTACATTAATACTATGTTTTGATACATGATTATAATTATAAATTCTTAAAATACCTATATGACGTGTTCTATGACATATCTAGCTACTAAAAATGTGCCTGTGTAATATAATTTTTATTTTATACCATATAACCTAATATAAAATAATAATATAGGTACTAAAATAGTTATTATTATTATTATTATTATTATTATTTGTATCCTTCACCTATAATGCGCATTATATTATTATCGTTGTTTAACAATTTACTTTACCAACAATCGTAATGCCAAACATAATATTACACAGTTCAATGTAATTTTTACTTTGTTTTACTATGTACAATCATAATTCCCTGTGAATTTCGTTTTTTTGATGGCGTGTACAGTGATGTCAGTTTGATAGGGACACGCGATTCTATCAATAATGTATAGAATAATGAACGTTATCATGAACCGATCACGTTCTCTTTCTAAGGAATGCTACACATATCGGACAGTGTATAATATTTACAAAGTTACCCTTTTCGTCAATAGTGTTTTTCTTTAATTTTATATTAGTTTAAAAAAAAATAATAATTTGTTCGTAATAGAAATAATCAATTTTAATAAAAGTAAGTTTGTTTAGACCGAGAGGTTACAATGGCGTTTATAATGATGAAAAAGTTGAATACATAATATATAATACACAAATGTATACGTGCACGTTTGTGGATTTGTATTTTTGTGTGACAACTACATTTTGATAAAAAAAAAAAATATGAACAAAAAATGAAATGAAATGAAATAAAATGAAATAAAACACAAACATAAATATTAATATCAAAAATATTTTTTCTCTGTGAAAGTATGGGAATATGATATAAATAGCAGTTAATGTATTTCGAAAGGTAATTTTAAATTTTTTTAAGAGTATATTATATTTGTTTTGTTAGGGAACACTCACAGTTCACCATCATACACAGGCACACACAAATAAATAAATATACATAATATTTATATTGTTGGTATGTCTTAGTTGTTAATTTATTGTGAAATTTAAAATGAATAAATACTTTCATAAGCATAATATTACACAGCTTTTTTTTCGATTCAATAATAACGATGTTGTCAATTGAATGAATATTATAAATTAAGACCATTTAAAAAAAAAACTTACTATATATTATATGGTTTGACAGCAATTTACTTTCAATTGGAACATTTAATTAAAATATCATAACTTATTTCAAACTTAGAGAAACATATAAATTGTTATAACTGAGGACAAATCTATTTTAGTTCGTTGAAATATTAAGGAATTACAACTGTCGAACATAGACGGTAGATATTTAAGAGTAGTAATTTTTTTTCGCATTTGTAGTTTATGAAAAAATTCAAAATATAAATATATTAGATATTAGTTACCAAGTAAAGTGAAAAATTACAAATATTAACCATGAAGGTTTATTAATAATTATATGTTATAGGCTTATTCGATGTATTTTAAATAGTATATAATATATAAAATGTCATGAGTTATTTGAATAGTAATTATACAATTAGATAAGAATTAACAATATTATCAACACACTGATATTAACTATGTAATTGATTTATTCAGATTCTTATGAGTTATGACATACACTCATATAATAATAAAACTCTACCTTGTTTTTGTTAATAATCTTCAAATTACATATCTAATTCGTTTAATTTATAAAATGTAGTATGTACACTTGTTAATAACTAATCATTAATAGTAGGTACTTATATTATTTTTTAAAAATATATTGAACGATGGTTTTATTTCTACTTTATAAATGTTTTTTTTTTATTTCATATATAAAAAACAGTTACTTATTTTATAAAGAAATATGAATTGGCTATTGAATATTTGTTACCAAATAAGTGTATGGTATGTACCTACTTGATTATTTTGAATTAACGTGTATTCCGAATTGAAGAAAATCTAAAGACAAACTAAAAGAAAATTAGCAATATTAGTCATTTAAAAGTTATATAAACTATCACTTTTACCTGAAAAAATTATTACGATTATAATACTTTGTACAAAGGTTATTAGTTTATAATAAAAAAAATACAAACTTAACAAAATAAAAATTATTGAAATTATATTGTAATTAATATTAAAATTATAGAAATAAAGGTATAAAGATATTTATCGAGAAACATCCACTTCAAAGAATTAGTTATTGTACTTATATAAACCCCTTAGGATAATAATCTAATCTGTTGAAGTTGTACAAAGTAACAAATTACGCCCTGTCAAAGTATAAATAATTTTAAACAAGTAAAAAAAATACCACGAAATAACTGACATTTTCCAAACTTTTTATTGACATTTATGAGACATATGTGATTCTATAGAATATAGCACACGATCAGATAATAATTTTTTCGATGATCAGTAACTCTTTCAGAAATTTGAAAGTGCAAAAATAAACTGAGAATACTTTGTCATAATATTCAGTATCTACCAACATAATGACGTAAAAATAAATGTTATTTTGTTATTTTGAATATAAACATAAAACATACTTTGCAAATGATTCAATTAATTCTTTACCACTATAAAATCGATTTTATTGTATATATGATGCTAAAAGTATACTTAAATTAATAATAAAGATTGGAACGTGAATTTATACTCTATTTGTATTGAATATACAATTTTCGTTTACACTTTTATAACAGGTAAAAAAATGTAAGGAATTTTGACTAATTATTAGGTATATTGTTAAGTTTAAGTTAACTGCTTTAATAGTCGAAGATCAACACGACGCATATGCGTTACACTAAATAAATACAATATCAAAGTACATATTTTTTAACCAATGATAGTTATAAATATTATCATAAACTTGTTGACTTAACAATATATTAAATTATTCATTTGAAACAAGAACACTATTAAGGACTTTTATATCTTCATTTTATTTCCTATTTCATTAACAAGCTATAAATGTATGAAAACTATTTGATTAAAAACTGTAAAATTTACAAATTATTCCGAAATCTTAAGTAAAAACGATGACAGATCCTCTTTGAAGACAGATGTGCCAAATATATCCTTCACAAAGTCCCCAAGTTGCATTCTCCACTTTTCTTTGTTAACTTGTAGCCATCGTGCAAGCTAATATATGGATACATTTTCTTATATTATGCTTCTCACAAAATTTAAAATTAGAGAATCTCACAAACACAAAGCACTCAGTAAATGCATTAATTGTCGAGGGTACTGTCACACTTAAACATATAGGGCAGCTCCCCATATTGAGTTCATTATGGTACTGAAAATTAGATATCTGCTTGTAAAAATCAAATCAGTACAATCCATCGAAATAACTTCTTTAATCTGGTGATTATCTTGCAATCTATAAAGGTTATTCAGTAATTCAGTTTTTAGGGAATGCCAGCGTGGTAAAAAAAAAACAGAGAGTTGTAGACTCTATATCGTATTATTTTGTAGACACTATACATGTGACTTTTTTCAATGTTTTGTAAGCATTTGACATTGTATAGTGCAATGACTTACTTTGTACATTTAAAACATTCTTATACCATATTTATTTTCTAATTATAACACATCATTTTTCAAACAGTCATTTCCAAATTACTTTTGTAAATGCATTCCCAAGTAAAACCAGCCGATGTTCTCAAACATAGTACGTATGTATCTCTGTAGCTCTGTTTAATATATATGCCACTGTTCAACTCAACACTCCAAATACTGAGGTTGCAGATTTACTCAAACAAAATGGCCATAATATCTATCAGCTCTAATTCCGCAACAGCTTAATTTAATTGACCTTCCTGGAATATTGGCACACCTATTAAATGACGGTTCAGTATAAACCAATCTTAATCTATACATACTACATTTACTTTTAGATAATATCCTAGTCAAAACTTCTATGTATATATAGACATATAGTATCCAAATTCCTATCTCATCCTCAGTCAAATATCTGTGCTAACATTATATCTTTGACTAACATCAACCCCTCACCTAAAATCTAAAAGATTCAATTTGAACTCTTACCTTAGTACCAAAACATATTTTATCATTAACAATTTATACACATATTTATACTAAATTTATCATTTATCAATTCTCAAATAAACATTTTATTACATTG